TTGGTACTTTGTTAATAACACTGTCTTACTTTATTTCAAAAAAAAAAATTCACCAAAGTTAACCGCAATTGCAAATCCTCAAGATTCAATATGATGAACAATGTGAAAGGTAGAGAACAGATTCAGTTTTACAAAATAGTAGTTTACTTCCTTTCAGGTCCATCCATGCAAGCACCTAACCGTTGGATATATTAATAGGGTTTTTCTTTCTAAATAACCAAAACACAAGAAGAAGGGGGAAAATACATTTGTAAAATAAATGTATCCTGTATGTGGATTGCAAGCCATTCTAGAACCCACATCTTTTTCCTTTCGTACATGCGATTAGGGGTATCCCGTAGGTTTGAGTTTGTTTATCATCTCAAGGACCAACTAGTAGCATCCCCTTAGTGCTTGTAGGCGATACATTCGTTATACTTTTTATTTCAAAAGATGGACCAACTAGTAGCAAAGGGCTACACCCCAAGTATATGGCACATTGAAATTATACATATATCCACTGCACATGCTATTTTGTAACCCTTTCAACTATTGTCAATATCCTCAATTTGAGTATTTATTTCTTTGTCAGCTACCTCTCCTCGGCCCTCCCACTAGTTAGATACCTGAAAATGCAGTTAAGCATGGTGACACAAAATTACAATTTACATAGAGAAACCTCCATATCCAAGGTTTGTTTCCAAGGAGAGTTCAAGTTCGTCTATCGGTTGAAGAAGTCTTTATATGAATTAAGGTAGTTTCTCAGAGCTTAGTTTAGAAAGTAAACTAAAGTTGTGATGGAGTTTGGTTTGAATTAAATAGAGTTGACCATTTAGTTTTCTTCAATCACTCAACAATTGGGAAAGAAATTGTTACCACAAGTTATGTAGCAAGGTGATTAAGTACTAGAAGCTTTTCATATAAACTTAACTTTAGACTAAAGATTTGGGTCTCCAATGGAATTTTGTTGGGACTTTTGGCAAATGATTGAAGTTAAGAATTGGTGTGGTAAAGAAAAAAGTATGGCCTTGATCCAGAATTTGTTTGACACACAAAAATGCCCTTGATCCTCCAGACAAGACAGGCAAGTCAATATCCAAACCAATTGATAGTCCTCATGATCCTAATATCATACTAGCTAGATGAGTATGAACTGCAAACTAGCTAGATGAGCATGAACTGCAAACTAGCTAGATGAGCATGAACTGCAAATTATCAGAGGACCTCAATGAATATGAGAGATCAATTGGAATTGAATTAGCTCGTCTTAAATTAGCTCCTTTGACTCATTCAAACATTTCATTTGTTGCAAGTCACTTATTATGGAGTCTCCTATGATGAATCACTGAGAGACAATGTCCAGCATCTTGCAGTATCTAAATGGTGCATTGGGTTGTGGAATAATCTATAAGAGCCATGTGCATACCCTGATTTGATCCCATCGAACCAGAACAACAATGCCGATATGTTAAGGGAGTTCATGCTAAATCTATTTGTAACAAGCTTGATGGGGAGTGTTACAATATAGAAGATATGTTCCTATATAGGTCTTCTGCTGTTAGTTTCCTGTTTGTAGCTTTTTCTTTTCATGGGACAGGGATCTACTATATACCCCATGTATCTTTTTTTTAAAAAGAATACTTAGCTGCAATGTTTTCTTCAACATCACTTAACCAATCTTTTTTTTTTTTTTTTGAGAAAACATGGCTTACCCAATCTTATTGAAGCAAGCAACAGATAACCACAGAATATTGCTTATCCAATCTTATTGAAGTAAGCAACAGATAACCAGAGAGTTGACACAGACAAACTCCTCACAACTTAAATCATAAACACTTCAAAGTTATCCCCTTTTTTTTAGAGAAAAAGGGGATATTTGTTAAGATCGGACCAAAGGAGTGCCACCCACACACAAAAAGTTATGTTACTGCTAAACATATTACATATGTATTGCTTCACAAAGTCCTGTCAATCATCTGCAAAACCATGATCATTGACATAGGACATATGTGGCATTATACCCCGCAGCAAGGGTAGATAATTGAACCAGTGGAGGCATGCCATAATCACAGCTGATTTCAAAATTGAAATTTGAGACGAGCAATTCAACAAATTAATTAGCTCACAACATAAAAGGCATGCAGGCTATAGAGGGAGGTACAAGGTAATTATATAGAAAGAAGTCTCCACAGGACATTTAAAGAATTAATTGTAGAATATTTTTGTAAATTAACTTACAATGGGTCCATTCTTTAATGCATGCTCCTTGGCAAAGTTGCATGCTTGTTTCACAGCAAGCACATCCATGCCATCCACCTGTTACAAGATAAAATACGTGACTATCAACAATCTAACCTGATACTGTCTTCTGCCAGGAATAAAAAGGGATTCTTTTAAGAAAAAAAATGATTTTATTCATAAATAACCAAAGAAACTAAAGAATATATAACAAAATTGTTATAATGCCACAGCCACCAAGATGATCATGATTATAGTCAGCACCAGTCCTATTACAACCAGGTTATGGGGATTGAATTAGCTCTCTAGTCCAAACAATGGGTCATTTTTCTAACAGCACAATGACTAAAAATTTAAAACATTTAATATATTGTGTGAAATAAAAAAAAGTAAAATATTAGAGCTCAAATAAAAAATTAAAAAATAAACAGAAACATGATAGCATCAAATTTACATAAAACCTAGAGATGAAAGAATCACTATACATAGAGAACCACGTAAAAATGGTTTATATTATGAGCTCCAAAAGATACCCCTAAGATGTACCCATAATAAAAAAATAAACATTATAAAAATAAAAAATTCATATTCATAAGGCACCAACAAGTTGCCATCAATATGCATATTTGTCAAAAATCTACATGTCCTCAACATCCTCCTCATCAAGGAGAGAATGACACTAAAACAAAATGCCTATTGTCTAAAACCAAAGTTCCTGATCCTACAAAAAAACAATAACCACCCTCGACAACTCCTTGATTCATTTCTCTTGATATAAAAAAATGGCTAGAAAATAAGAGACCATCTTTTTCCTGCTCTTCACACCCTAAAACCCTCCCAAGCCAACAACTAACCCTAACTGAAACATGAGCTGCCGAACTAACATTCTAACAGCCAATTAGAGCCAAGCGTGTGGCCCCCCGTGTATAGGGGTTCTGAAATCATAAAGCAGTTATATTTACAAGGTTCCCAAATCCACATCAACCTAAAATCTGATGCCCTGAAAGCAAAAGCACCTATGAACCAATACTTTGATTCTCCTTGCCATGTTGTTGACAATGAGAATTCTACTCCATGAGAAAATATTATTATCTATATTCCTTTATGTTTCTCTGAAAAAATTGCCTAAGTAGCAAATAGATTACTTGGATAGACCAAAAAAAAAAAAACCAAGAGGGAGACGATGCCATTTGTACCAAAAATATGAGAAAAAATGTGCAAAACAAAGTGATACGCAGTTAATATATCTAGAATATGTGTAGCTTTCAAGATCTATGATATGTAACCCTCCGAAACAAAAATTTTCGAAAGATCGTGACAGCTTTCAAACAGAATATGTATCTCTCCCAAATAAAACTTCAGTATCATGAACATAAATTGGAATAGGTGCACTCTCAAGCATGTATTTAGGAGTCCAACATTTTTCATGTACTTACAAGTGACCATGGTGCACCACTAACATTAAGCGACACTATTTTAATGTCATTAAGGGGCAAATAATCATCTACCATATAATCACACTCCTCTTCTTCTCAGCCCAGTACTTGCTCTCTGGGCTATAGGCAGCAGACACGTGTTACAAGTTACAAATTAATCCACTGAAAGCAGTGCTTAGCCCAATAATCCATCACCTGTACCATGAAACAACCTGTCCTGCTCTCTTTGTGCACATTTCTAAAACTAATAAAACAAAAGTAAAATGTGCAATTCAAGATTCTGCCAAAATCTTTGTGGGACACCACAGACAATAAGCTTTACTGCAATAAAGGAAAGAATAGAGCATCTCAGGATCTAGAAAAGGCCCCTAATACCTCAGGGAAAATTTTGTTAGCTAGTAACAGAAGCACACGTGAATTCAAGAGTCAACAGCTGAAGGAGACAATGGATAAGTGATTTGGCCTAGATCACAACAAAATAAAAATTTCAAGACGTTAATTCCAAGATTGGTCAATCTACAAGCAATCTTCTATCCTTATATGCCCCAGTAGTAAACTTGAAACTTTGAGCGAAAGAGGTAAAGGAATTGGTTTCAACTCCAAATTGCTTATAAGAAAAAGTTCAATCAGTACATCTCAAATTCCATTTATATGTTCCAATTCCACTTGAAATTGATTGCAACTTGAATTTCTATCATTTTATGATTTAACCACGTTTCCAAGTAAATTCACAAAGCGTACTTCATTTTATTCAAGCATACCCTGATCCAAATTTTCATTCAAAAGATGGCAGAAGATTTAGCCTCACCTTCAACCCAGGAACATAATCCCCACGCTTGTAATACGCTGGGCTCTTAGCCGCCCTCCATTCAGCCGTTCCCATTCCATCTGCAAAATCACATAATTACCAATAAAGAACCATAAAATCGGAAATAAATTACCAATTTGATTCCTTACAATGGTTATTCTCGCAAACCAAAATCGCGGGTAGATCCCAGAGAGCGGCAATATTCAGTGCTTCGAATAACTGCCCCTGGTTTGCGGCACCATCACCGTATAAGGCAAAAGTCACGGTCTCATCCTTGGAATACTTCTGTGCGAAAGCCAACCCGCATCCCAGCGGAACCTGAGCCCCGACGATGCCGTGACCTCCATAAAACGAAGCGTCCTTCTTGTAGAAATGCATGGAACCACCTTTTCCCTTTGAGCACCCCGCCTTCCTCCCCATAAGCTCCCCGAATACCTCCAGCAGGGTCCCTCCGCGGCCCAGGAACGTGCAGTGATCACGGTATGCCGTGATGATGCAGTCTTTTTTAGTAATCGCGGCCTCCATGCCGATAGCGACGGCCTCCTGTCCATCGTAGAGATGACAGAATCCACGGATCAGTTTGGCCTTGTAAAGCGAGTCCGCAGCGATCTCCATACGACGCATCAAAGCCATGTCTCGGAAGAAGGTGAGTAGCTCCTTCGCGGATGTCTCGACGGCGCGTGAGGGAGGCTCGCACTGGTGAGAGGTGAAGGGTACGGAAGTCTCAATGGTGAGCGGTGAGGTATCGGTGGAGATCGGACGGCATAGCGAAGGGGTGGAGGAGAAAGCGGACGCGGTGGACCGTAGGAGATTGCTGGATCGAGAAAGGAACTTTGAAAGAGCCATTACCAGAGTTGATGAGAAGGAGGGGGATCTTGAGGTTTGATGGAGGAGAGGTGGAAGTAGAAATGGTTAGGCGGAGCAGAGGGCGCCCTTATTATATCCGCACGTTTTTGGTTTTCTAAAAGTGGTTTTTTGATTATTCTCTGGGATTTGATATTTCAGTGCAGCGATTCCACAAGCAGTTTCCGGTTCGTGAAATTTATTTATTTAATTCATTTATTCTTTTCTTTAATTAAGAAAAAACACGTACAGTAGATTATCATTTGATTATTACTATAATTTCTTTTTAAAAAATACTTGTCTCTTTTATAACAACATTTTCAATTCTTATTTAAAAAAACATTTTGATCGATTTTAATAACATTATATAATTTTGTCATTATAAAATTGATAGATAAATATTATAAATTTAAAAATAAATTATTAAATTTATTTTTAAAATTTATTACTTAATTTTTTATTTATTCTATATTTAATTATAAACAAATAAAACACTTAACTTTGATTAAATTTTTTTTAATTATCACAAGTTACTGAAATTTTAGAACTCTGTTTCGCTGTGGATACCAATTTTAATGCTTGTCCTTATTAATTTATCTAACAATTTCAGTTCTTATTTTATAATTTAAAATTTAAAATTTTATTTTAGAAAAGTATCTGCTTGTATACACTTTACTACAGCATCGTATTTGAATTATATGCGACTAAATATATTTTCCAATGAAACGTATTTACAGGAAGTGTTATCTTCACAGTTTTTATAGGTAATAAATAAACTTAATAAGATGGTTCTTTATTGTCCTATGTATGTATCTGTGTGTATATATAATTAATTCAAATAAATTGCAGCAATTATCTTGATTCTACTGTCAACATTTCTTGGCAATTTCAAACTCTTACATTTGTTTGGATGATAAGTAATTATCATAATTTTATAATTTTATTTTGTTTGAATCATTTTTAGTATAATTATTTTTATGGTATTTTATAGTAATTTTTTTTTAATGTTTTTAAAATTTTTCAATCTATTATTTTTTAACCTCACAATATTTTATTAATTTCCGTTTCATACTCAACCCAAATTTTTTTTCCAACTACCTCAACCTGCTTCTTCTTTCTTCACCTCTGCTTCCGTCGTCCTCTTCTCATCTGATTCTGCTTCTTCCACTTCCATATTATGCTTCTGCTTGTTGCTATTGTCTCTCTCAGTGTTAACTTGTTTCATCTATCCTTCTTTCAATCAAGGTATGTACTGCTTTTTGTGGTGGCTAACGATTTTTTTGAATAATTAGTTTAGTTTATAGTTTATAATCTGTAAAATTCAAAAGTTTCTTATTGTTTCTCTCTAATAGCTGAAATTTGTTGGGACTGAAAAATCCTTGATCCACAAACCCTTCATTTGTTCAATTATACGGAGAAAGGAAAGGGAAGATGTGCTTTAATTTTAGAGCAATTACAATTTCATGAAATAATTATCCCATGAACGAAATGATGTAATGAATATTACATCAATAATAGCCATCACAACAAGGATATATTCAGATATTTCCTGCCAACCAAATGGGCTGTTAATTACTTAGGTTTATCCCAATACGCGCGTACTTGTTAGCAGAATTGGGTGATAGAGTTTACAGATTTTCGAAAAAGGAGCCTGTAGATTGTAGTGGACTCGACTTGTAGGTTTATTCGTGCATTTACAGAATTCAACTTTGACAGTACACCAGGTGTTTGATGGTTTGCCTTGATGTGTTAAAAGGACTTGCTTTTGGTTCAAAACTCCTGCTTTATCTGTCAATATACGATTCATCTTTTATGCGTTCTTCTTTAACTTAAACTATGGGGTTTTCATCAGGTTATGTGAGCTACAATAGCCACTTCAGTTATTAAATTTATGTTGGTCCTTGATATATGTAGATATTGTTCAACTGATGGAAAGATAGTTAAAACCTTATCTTTATATCTGGAGTAAGAATTTTTATTTTGGGTTGTTAAATAAAAAATATGAGATAATAAGAGAGTTTTTTTATTTTTTAAAAAATAATTTTGTTATTTTTAATTTGACTCACACTTGGGACTTCTCTTATTGAGCAGTAAGGTCAGTGTCATCTTGTTCTCAGTCGTGTAATTACATGTGATTATATGTGTTATGTAACGTTAAAATTACAACTCACGATCATATGATTGATATCTCTTATGGTCTTATCACTTCTTTTTCTTTTGTTGAAAACTGTTCAGCGACTATATGAATGTTTATGTAGGCTATTTGATGAAAACACACGAGAGATTTCGTGAGACGGACTCTTGGTTGGTTATCATGTTTATTGGCATCCTGATAGGCTTTTGCTTGTGATTCAGTGACTATGGGGCTAATGTTATGGATCTTGAGAAGCTGTTCTCTTTGATTATGAATTTGGTAAACTGTTGAGAAAATTCATGGATTGGAGTGCTCTTTAATTTTGCTTATTTTGATAATTGGTGGGAACAAACTATAGCAAAAGGAAATGAGTTCATGGGACTGTTAGTTTGATTGATATGATACTGCCACCTGACTTATGTCTCTCTCTGGTGTGACTAATAAGGCTAAGAGCAAACAGTCTGTAGGTTATTTTTAGTAGGATAGTTTTACTTGTTATGTGTAGTAACTGGATGTAAAGAAAAAAAAAAGAAATTTTTTTGCATGTATGTATATATGTGTATATAGAGATAGTTATAGAGTGAAACGATGCCGTTTGGAGAAGAAGAGGAGGAAACGGCGTCGTTTGGAGAAGAGGAGGAGGAAACGGCGTCGTTTGGAGGAAACGGTGTCGTTTGGTGAAGAGGTGGAGGAAACGCCGTCGTTTGGAGAAGAGGAGGAAATGACGTCGTTTGGAGAAGAGGGAGTGGACGGTTGGGATGAGGTGAGATGGACTGGTAGGATGAGAAGCAGGTGGGATATAAATAGGAGAAGGGAAGGAAAAAAAAAAGGAAAAGAAAAGAAAAAGAAAAAGAAAAAAAAAGCAAGAGGAAAGGAAAGAAAGAAAACAGAGAAGAGAGATCGGGGGAAAGAGAAGGTTCGAGAGAGAGAAAGAAGAGCCAGAGCGGGGAGGAACGAGAAGAGAGAGAGGAGAAAGAGGACGGTGACGGAGGGAGCCATGGGAGGAAGGAAGATGGAGATGGGAGGTATGGTAAACTTTAAGTTACATGCGTAGGTTGATGTAGATTTGAAATTTTGACCGTAGGTGGAGGATTTTGTGTGAGTATGAGTGGAGGTGTATGGAGGAGGCCGTGGGAGGAGAGAGAAGAAGGAAGGCGACGTGTGAGTGAGGTTCGTGAGGGAGAGAAGATTTTGTGTGAGTATGAGTGGGGGTATATGGAGGAGGCCGCGGGAGGAGAGAGAAGAAGGAATGCGATGTGTGAGTGAGGTTGTGAGAGAGAGGAGATTTTGTGTGAGTATGAGTGGAAGTATAGGGAGGAGGTCGCGGGAGGAAGGAAGAGAGGGAAGAAGGTTCCAGAAGAGAGAGAGGGGAGTCGGAGCAGAGAGGAGCGAGAAGGGAGAGAGAAGAGAGCCGCGGACTACGAACGGTGCGATTGGCAAGAGGAAGGAAAGTGGAAATGGAAGGTACGATAAAAACTTTGGTTGTGTAGGTATTGGGTGAGTTGTGATGCTATTTGCAGGTTGCTGAGGCCAGGGAGTCTGTAGGTAGCTGGGCGGAGCTGAGAGGTGGAGTGTAGGACGGAATGGCAGAGACGTTCGCGGAGGAGGCCGTGAGAAGGATAGGATGGCGTCGTTGGGGCGTACGGGAGATCTATGAGAGAGAGAGAGAGGAGGTTGTGTGCGGTGAGTGTGAGCACCGAGGGAAGGTCACTGAGAGGAAGAGGAGTGAGCAGTTGGCGTGTGTGGGGAAATCCGAGATGACGAAGGGAGTCGTGTGCAGGAGCGGGGGTGCGGAGAGAGTCGCGAGCGGAATGAGCAGGAGGAACGAATTCGGTGAGTGTCCGGTGAGAGGGGTGAGTGTGGGGAGTGTGACAGTGTGAGTTCGGACTGTGCGAGGGTGAGAGGGACGTGCGTGGTGAGTGGGACGGTGTGAGTTCGGACTGTGAGAGGGAGAGGACTATGGAATAGAAATTGACATGTATGAAAAGTTTCGGGTGAGAGAAGAGGCTTATGGAACCGTACGGAGAGGTCGGTTTAGCGAAGGATAAGAACGTAGTTGCTGGAGATTGGGATGGCATAGGAGGGGACTATAGAGTATGGTTTAGGGCGAGAGAGTAGGGACGCGTTGATAGGGGTATAACGGGAGTGTGGTGAGGGGAGATGGTTTGGTATAGTTACTATAAATTTAAAGGTTGGCGAGGGAACATCGCCGGCGTGTGCGGGAAGTCTTGGTGTGCGTGTGGCCTAATAAGGTCGAGAGGTAGTGGAGGGAGCATGAGTCGCCGATGTTGGTGACGTGCGAGAACGGATTGTGTGTGTGTATGGCCTGTTGGGGTCAAGGTGTGGACGGATTGTGTGTGTGTGTGGCCTGTTGGGGTCGAGGTGTGGACGGATTGTGTGTGTGCGTGGCTTATTGGGGTCGAGGTGTGGACGGATGGTGTGTGTGTGTGGCCTATTGTGGTCGAGGTGTGGGGTAGTGAGCATGAGTCACCGATGTTGGTGACGTGCGAGAACGGATTGTGTGTGTGTGTGGCCTATTGAGGTCGAGGTGTGGAC